GTGTGTGCACGTGGTGGGTGGCGGGGGGGTGGGGCGACTCCTCCCCCACCACCAATCAATCAATCAATCAATCAATCAAACCCCTTTTTTTTTTTCTTTTTTCTTTTTTTTTGGCATCCACATTTTTTGAAAACACCTCACACTTCTGCCAAAAACATGAATTCATTTCTAAAAAAATACAGGTAAACTCACGGACCATAGATCTCATGATAAAAAATGACCAAAAAAAATTCCTGCTTTTATATTTTTTAATTTTCTTTAAATCCAATTTCGTTTTTGATTTTTTTAAAATCCTAAATAAAGTCGGATTCAAAAAATATATATATGGGGTTGTAGGGCTCGAAATTCCCTACAACCCCATATATATATATATATATATATTTTACCTATTATTTAATTCGGGAAAATTCGTGTAAAATCGGGTCCGCGGTGCGGACCAGGTAGGCCGCGGATGCGAACCCATTTGGGTCCGCGATCCGAGCTCGACCCCGCGGACGCGTCCGCGGGTGTTTCCCTGGGTTCCGCGCCGCACTAATAGATGGACCAGCCCGACAGATAAGCCTTCAATTCTGACAGTTCTCTTACCACCACCGGGATAGAGAGCTTACGCAAGGACTACGCCACAAAAAAAAAAAAAAAAAAAAAAAAAAAGAAGTCAATCAAGGGTCAGGGGGAGAGCGAGGGGAAATGCGCTTTAGTGGAGTGTTAGAGGGAGTACCGCATTCGATCAGGAGAAGATGCACACAAACTGTTGCCCACCCACCTCCCTCCTGCCTCGCCCCCTCGCCATCCTTCTGAGCTTCCAGCGCTTCTCACACCCTTGTCTTCCTACCTCTTCCACACTTAAGGATCCTTCTGAGCTTGCAGCACTTCTCACACCCTTGTCCTCCTACCTCTTCCATACTTAAGGATAAGGACATGGGAGACGAGGAATGAGGAGAGGAGGTTAGCATCCTAGAAAAGGACATGAAAGAAAGGAAGAGGCCACAGTGTCATCTTATAGGACCTTAACAGAGTGGAGACTCAGGAGAGAGAAGAGGCTGAATACTAGGACAACAAACAAGTCCATAATTGTGTTAATACTTCACACGTCGTGTCAACGCATAGAGAGGACAAAGAACTGTGAGGAGCTCGGGTCGAGGTGGGCATCAAGCGAGCACCAGCCTTCGCTGTAACCTCCTCTTATGCATCATCACAACCATCATTACCATTCTCTGTATGTAGGCCCTGTTGAATCCTAAGCCCTCTTCCTCCGCTTCTCCTCGGTCCTTTTCTCACCATTCCCAGTCTATTCGTCATCTTCACATTAACAGATCATCCTCCTAGCCCTCCCCTTGTGTTGTAGATCCTTGTTTTCCCGATCCCCTTCTATGCCCCTGCTCCTTGCTTCCATCTTGTTTTCATCTTTGCCTCCTCATCCTTTTCTGGCCCCTCGTTGTCCCTGCACTTTGCCCCCTCCAGCTTCCTGTGTTCTTCCTCTTCCTTCGCCTCTCTTCTCTTTCCTCCTCCCTTGGGACTATTTTCATCCTCCTCTGCAGGACCCATGCCATCTCTGTCCCTGTTTGCCTTCTGATGATTCTCTTCCTGCTCTCCCTCCTTTCCCCCTCCCTGCAGCACAAGGCGAGTGGAAGTTGCTCCAGCATACAATGTTCCAAATGCGGGTCAAACACGTTGATGTGGTTAAAGCACCAGTACATGCCAGCTATCGGCCAGCTATCGGCCGCAGGCCCCCCTTTCGGAGGCCGCCCCCCACCCATTAGATTTTATCTACGGCCCTCAGCCTCCTAAACTTCCAGCGAGGCTCAAAACTGGTTCCCCCGTTGCCTGGGGCCATGTACTGGTGGTGGTTTACCTCTGCTTTCACACGAGCCACCCTCAAAAACCTCACCGACGACCTCATGTCAAAAAAATGCCTGACTGGTCGCCCATAGTGACCCACCAATATGCCTTCCCAGCCCAAAAGTGGGCATGGGATCCCCTTTGGCTGCCAGCAAGAGAAACAGGTTACATCTCCCTCGCACTCCTGGTTCAAGCACAACGTGGTATCCAGATCACTACACGGCGATCTTTTTTGCTGAGACAAATATGCTGGACGATAACCGGGGAAAAAAAAAAAAAAAAAAAAAGTTGAGAGAGCTCTATGATTATGCTGGTGAGAGCAACCCTCAGGTACTGATAGTCACTTAGTATAGACGACAACATCCACTTCGCCCGGTGCAAGCGTGTTGTTGCTCATCACTTCAAATACACAAGTACACCATGTGGCATGAGCTGTGGCACGGCGCGGGTTCGTACCCTATTGCCCAGTGAGATGTCAGCTACCAATCAAACATTACATTACATGGCTAAAAAGAATAGTCTTTTCCACTTCCCCCTCCTCGTCAACGACGAGAATGCTCCGTGCAACATGGCTGGCTTCCCTCAGATCAGCTCAACTTGCATCCTTTACCCCATCTCTTTCCCTTTCATTTCAAGCGAATGGGGGAGAAGGGTGGATGGGTGGGGGGTGGGGGTGGAGGTGGGGTTTGGGGGCGGGGGGGTGGTACAGAAATGAACAAAGAAAGGCCTGATAAGGCCCTAAAAACAATCCAGAAACAAATACCTGCCACCCTGCTCAGGCCGCAGCATTCTGTTCATTGAATTTGGACTCATTCCCTGATTATTATCAGTTCAAGATACGTGGCATTCTGTCATATCGCCAAGTACAGGGCTCTACAAAAATATAGTCTAGAGGTTCGAGACCCCCTAGAGATCACTTCGAAGAGAGGTTTGAGACCCTCTAGAGATCACTTCGAAGAACAAGTGATGGAGTATTCTTTTCTCGAAAGCCGCACCTGCACTGTATATGCCTCTGCATGTGTGCCTACACTGTAGAAAGAATTGTAAGGATGAAAGGATGGAGGAGAAGTGAGACAACCGAAAAGCCCATTCCTCACCACCTCCATTAAAAACTGCCTCGTTGTGTCGACGAATCAAAACTATTACCTACGTGAACTTCTCTGCTGGTTGGCATTTGTTACATCTGGTGGCTACAACGTCCAGCAGTGCATGGTCGATATAGAGGTGCTCAGTCACGGACAGCCATCAGCAAACACCATCGCTCACACCAGAACGCACTGCCTTTGTGCTCTCTCCGCCTGCACTGCTGGGCAGGAGATGAGTGACCGGGGAAAAAAAAAAAAAGGGGGGACGAGCGACCGGCTGCATGGTTCAGACAGGGATAGAAAAGCCCTAATATCTGGAAGTGCTTCTTTCCTTTCCTCGAACGGACGGGAGCGGTTCCGCCAGATATGTCAGCCTTCCATCTTTTCCAAAGAGACGAGGAGAAAATAAACCACATGCATATTGTTGCCTACATCGTGTAAGCTGCCGGGACTCCAAATCACTACCTATCTAAATTTAAGCCATTCTAACATTTGCAAGCCTGCAGTGTAACCCGTTCTGCAAAGACATCCTGCAATGCAATACTGCACCATCACCTCCGCACCGAGAGAATACAGCGACTAATGCATCAGTTTGCACAACTTTGCAGCCATCAGAACCTCATCCGATAAACCCAACTTTCACAAGGACAGCTCACTTCATATCTTGTTCAGAATTACGACATGCATTATCAGCATCATCGTCGCTACCACCATGCCTTCCCTCCACTTTTTATCGCAGAAGGATCGTCCAGAAGACCGTTGTTCGCAACTGGGCGAGGATAAAGAGCGAATGCAAAGCTGATGCCTTCCCTCCACTTTTTACCGCAAAAGGGTCGTCGCGAAGACCGTTGTCCGCAGCTGGGTAAGGATAAAGAGCGCATGCATAGCTGATGCCTTCCCTCCACTTTTTATCGCAAAAGGGTCGTCCCGAAGACCGTTGTTCGCAGCTGGGTGAGGATAAAGAACATGCGCAGAGCATGCAAAGCTGAGCCATAGGGGAGACCCAACTGCAGGTGAGAAGCACACGCAGACAAACGCAAAAGGAGAAAAAACAAACGCAGAAAGATGCCTCTACATCCTCAATGACCTGCTGGGACTACCGCCGTGGACAGAAAAAAAAAGAAAAAGAAAAAAAAAGCACAGCAGTCTTGTTACTAGCTGAGCCTGCAGTATCTCCAGCTGCCGAGACCCTTCTCCCAGACAAGAATATTAGTGAAGTTCTTTGCTGCAGATCTCTCAGCTCGTGTGGCCTTTGTTCAGCACAAGATCCAGCCCGACACTCGATTGAGTATGAGATACAGCCTTCCTGATCTTCCGGTCAACTCCATGACATCCCCAACAAAAATGTTTGCCGCCTCATCCAGCCCTCCTCGCTGGCAGACACATACATCCTTCTGAGTCAAACGCAGGCGACCACAATAATCGCACACATCAGTATTATACTTGCCATCGATGAAACGTATGAACGAAGCCCTCTCTCTCTCTCTCTCTCTCTCTCTCTCTCTCACACACACACACACACACGTGGCTGGCAAGACAGGATGAGTGGATCTTTTACACATGCTTCAAAGTTGTTTTTGCAATCAGGAAATTAAAAAAAAATTGAATCATATACCCCCTCTGCCCCTTAACTTGCTCCCCCTAAAAGACTGAACATGAAAAGGGGATGCCCAATAATCAGCAACCAAGAACCAAAGACAAGTGGAGAGAGAGAGAACACCGTTGCTGGGCAGGCTGCATAGAGGTAAACACCAAACAGAAGTGACACCTCGTTCAAAATCCTATCATCGACTTTATCATGATTTGAAAAGAATTAATTGAAACAAGTAAACTTGGGAACAGTATACACCTCAATCATTTTTATAGAATCCGTAGCACATGCTGACCTGGCCATCAAGAGCCCAGAGTGAGAGCACCCTGTCCTGTCCACTGCTACACGAGCCAGCATTTCGCCGGCAGCACAGCCTCATCTCCTCTTTCCTGTCCTTCCTTCATTCTGCAACGAAGGCACTTATGCCTCGCCGTCCACAGCCAAAGTCTGCCGAGTACCAACCGTCACTGCCGTGCTGGTTCGCCTCTCACACTGGCAATTACAGCTTTGCGCGATAGGTAGGAGGAGGAGAAGAAAGCCAGGTGGAGGTACTCCACCAAAAGAAGCAATACAGCACTCCTCTCTCTCTCTCTCTCTCTCTCTCTCTCTCTCTCTCTCTCTCTCTCTCTTCCTGTTGTCTGCCAGCCGAGGGCATCGAAAGTCCCCCGCTGCCTCGTGTTCTCTGTCCTCCTCTAGGAGCATCACGTCGGGTTGCTTAACGCGCCAAGCTTCCTTCAGACCATAGCCAGCAAAAGCTCTTTTGGAAAATTGACACACTTCCGTCAGGAAGATGTGTGGTGACGCCTCTCTGTGTTTGTATCTATTTGTGCATGTGTCCTCTGCCTGTGTGTGTATGTGTGGGTGTGTGCAGGTCTACGAGTGAGAGTGTCTCAGTTTCCTTCTGAGTCTCCGTTGATGCACACTCCATAGAGCCGCTGGCAAGACGCTGCCATGAATCCGTTACAATTGCCTCCGACAACTTCCATCTGCATACTACTCAGCGTTGGGGTTTGATAGCTATAGGCCTTTGAATACCCTGTACCATACGCCAAACACAAATCAACGCACAAGCAGAAAAAATCAACAACGTCAGAGAAAGCAGATTGCGCAAGACTTCGCAGGATGTTTCTTTAAAAAAAAAAAAAAAAAAAAAAAAAAAAAAAAAAAAAAAAAAAAAAAAAAAAAAGACTGCGTATCACTGAATACTCTCCCTTCCTGTGTATCACCGAATACATCCGCTTCACTCCTTTATGCCTTGATGATCGATAACAATATACATGCACTTTCATGCAAACACGTCTTGAGAAAAGAGCTCTGCAGAAAACTCCTGACTTATGGACTGCTATTTCACTCGTTGAAGTTTTTGGTTTCAGCAACAAACAGCTTCCTCCACTCAGGCGGAATCTCAAGCCCCCAGGTGAAAGGGAGGATAGCATGAAATCGAAGGGCGCATATCAAAGCACACTACAACAGAGTGCGAACTGACCTTGTGGGTCGAGATCAGAGCCGAGGGATGCAGGTTTACACATGAGAGAGAGAGAGAGAGAGAGGCAGGATGGCTGACAGGAGAAGGGCGAGTAGAGAGAGAGAGAGAGAGAGAGAGAGAGAGAGAGAGAGGCAGGATGACTGACAGGAGAAGGGCGAGTAAAGGGAGGGGGATGCCACGGAGAAGAACATGGACAGAAAGGGAATATGGGAGGGGGACGAGAAGAACGAGGGAGTGAAGGACACGAATCGGAGGATGGAGAACGTGCGCACTTACTTGAATGATCCTCGAGCTTATTCCACAGGTCTCAGCCGGGGTTGAGCGCCTGCGCTTCTTGGGTGGGTACATCTGGCTGGTAGCCGCTGCTGCAAGTGCTCCCCAAGATTGCGCAGTTACCGCCCCGTCTATCATAGTCGCCGTAGCTGCAACCGACGGCCCATTCAGCAAGGGAACCGAAGGCTGCATCAACGCGAGAGGAGGGAACGCCGCCGAGGAAGTGGGAGGAAGAGCCACCACCGTCGTTCCTGAAGTGACGGCTGCTGCTGCCGCCGCTGCGGCTGCTGTTGCTGCGACCGAGTTAGCTACGCATTCTGCCATCCTGCCGATCACCACCAAAATTAACAATAACACACACACAACACCGTCAGAGGCAGCGCACAACACTGAGCCAGCACACAACAACGCACAATAGAGAGGGGCGACAGGGCGTGCCAGAGGATGGGCACAAACAGAAAAAAAGCACACGGACGTTGAGGCAGTACGCACGCACGACACTGGCATCGGCTCTCGCGCATGCCCACACACACGCGATCATGACTGTTCTTTCTTTTAATGGATTTTTTTTTTAATTTAGAAAGGATTTTGTAATTTACAAAATCCTCTTTTTCAATTGTCTTGTACATCTAAATAATAAATAACAAATATGACAAGACAATCAAGTGCCCGAAAGGAGAGAAGAGGAGGAGCATACAGACAAAAACACAAAAAAAGTCCGACGAAACAGTCTGGCGCAGTCATGCTTTTCTTTTGTGGAGTTCTGTATAGCGAATACATGACAACCCACACACACACAGACACACACATTCACTCACTTCGCAGCACGCACTAGCGGAGGCATGGACGCAGGCAAGCACAATAGACCATCCCCGACGAAGGAATGAGATAGCCAAAGGGCCGAAAGGAGAACGAGGGAGCAGGAAGGCGGCGAGCCTGTGTCACAGGAAGGAAGAGAAGACGAGGAGGAGCGAAGAGTGGGGATTGAGACTCACTAACCATTGCTCATGCATGTTTAATCTATTTGACCGCTCTAGAAGCCCGTCAGGCGACGCCTCTGCGTGGTGCTCGTCCTCCTCTTGCCGTTGATGATGCTGCCGCCTTTGCGCAAGAGTAAACGAACGGCTGTTGCTGCTAGTACCTATGACGGACATGCCGAGGCCAAGCGTCATGGTCGTGTCACATTCTTCGCAGGAGCCGCCAAGAGCCAGATGACTGCCGGTCTCAGGATCAAGCCCCGCTACGTCGTCGTGACGCCGCTGCATGGCACCACCGATCTCCGATGAGGATGTTGGGGAACCAATGGACGAGACTCCCCCTCCTCCCCCTCCTCCACCACCACCACCGCCACAGCCACCACCGAGCGAGCAGAATGGGTGGGACATCCCGTCCTCTCCCGACCTTCTTCCCACCTCTCCCCCCACGGATGACGTGGCAGGTCCCCCCGGTAGAAGCTGCTGCTCAGCGCCCCCGTCGTCACATAGCGTCGTCGCTGTGGATTGCGCGGAGACAGCGGCGGTCACCCCGCCCCCGCCCGCGCCAGCGCAGCCAGCTATGGGATAAATGCCAACAGTCGTCGACAAAGACGCACCGCCGTTCGACGACGGCGTAATCGACGGACTGCCGGGCGTCAAACGATGATGATGAGGATGACGCTCCATCATCGCCGACGCAGAATTCGATCCTCCGACCACAGTTGGCGCGGCGGCGGACATGGCAATCGTGGCGCCAGAGTTGCGCCCGACCCACCGCTGCGCATCATCCGATCCATTCCAGAGGACAGAGGAGGCAGCCGCCATAGCCATTTCCGGACATGTGCCCAACTCTCTCTCCGGTTCATTTTCGTTCTCCGTTTCAACATCACTGTCGTCCTCGCTTCGCACTGTCCCTATACCTTTCAAAGCGGCAGCGGCAGCGCCGCAGGCAGCGGCGTCGGCGATGCCCCCACCATTGCGGTTCTGCCGGTGATGAGACTTGGAAGACATAGCTTCCCGCCCGCGCTTGCTGCCACTGCTGCCGCCACCAACGGCACCGCCCGTGCTGTTGTGACTGTTCGCCGCCGCCGGCAAGGCCATCTCCGCTGCTGCCCTGGGCAGAGACGGGGAACTTGGAGGCTCGTCATTCTGATCATCCTGATCTGGTCCGTTACCATTCGCCGTCGCGGCAACGTTGAGGTCTATCAGCTTCGCTCCCAGTCGATTTAATTGTCTATGCAGCTTTGATATATAGTCAAAGACTTCAGCCAAAAACGCTGCCGTATTCGCCCTCGCGGAATGCGGCACAAGCCCTCGCAAGGCCTCCAATCTATTTTCCCCCCACCCACCCACCCAACCAACCACCCACCCAACCACACACACACACAAACACACACACAAACACGAAAAGGCAAAGGGTCAGCAATGAACGCGCTAGTTTGCTTCCAAATTAATCTCCTTCCATACTGGCAATTACAAACAGAAAGAAAAAAAAAAAAAAAAAAAAAAAATCTGATGTTTTTTTTCTTCCCAACGTTCTAATCGAAACAAAGCATGTAACACAGCGCCTGCAAGACATTAGCATCCTCATCTAGATCGTCTTCATCCTCTGCCCATATGGATTGTGATCGCCGAGAACCGAACAGAAAACCCCAAGAACACGTTTTCACCCGTGTGACCACCACTCTCGATAAAAAAATGAATAATTCTTAACCATCCCTTCATCTGTGGCTTGGGCCAGTTACCCATCTCACTTCTACAAACCCAATGCCGATCGCACGCTCATATCTAATTTCTCCCTCGTCCACCTCTCTCTCTCTCTCTCTGATGCGCCGGTGAAAGTATGAGGAAACAGTCTGGCATAGTCATGCTTTTTTTTCTGGAGTTCATAACACACACACACACACACACACACACACACACACACGCACGCACGCACGCACGCACACACAGAATGAGCTGACAGACAGAGATACGACTGTTTCCTGAAATACACAGCAGGCTGCCATGTTTGCGAGCGAAGCGAAAATTTTGGGCGACGTACGCGCCTGAAGTCGAGGGTGCCATATTCAGTAGCCCTGCCCATGCATGTGCCACCTACTCTTTATGTGCCCTTTTCTCAAATTACTGTATGCGGCGGATGCACATCGGTGGATATTTGCTCCCCTCGTCCCACCTATGCGGACGGCAGGCGGCCATGGAGATCCAAGAAAGCTGACACTATGGAGGAGGAAGAGGAGGGTGCTGATACTAAGGAGGCGGAGGGAGGGTGCTGACACTACTGTAGTGAGGAGGAGGGAGGGTGCTGATACTAAGGAGGAGGAGGGAGGGTGCTGATACTAAGCAGGAGGAGGGAGGGTGCTGATACTAAGGCGGAGGAGGGAGGGTGACGATGAAAAGCCCCGAGGCAACACGAAAGAACGAGGAAGGTCTTTCTGCGCCTCAACGAATTTATGTATGGGGACGAGGAAAGGACGAGAAGTTGAACAGATTCATGGGACGTGATCGCTTTCCTGCGTCTTAACCCTCGTTCGTGAGCTTCATTCCTTCGGTTTGCCTTGACAAAAGGGGCAGAAAGGAGGAAGAGGGAGGTACGCGCTGCATTCGAAGAACGCTTATCTAAGCAGCAATAGTGACCGTTTCATAGATTGGCAGACATCGCGAAAGGATCGCGGCATAGTTTTTGTCAATGCTTCGCAGAACCTTTTTTTTTTTTTTTTTTTTTAATGCTTCGCAAGCTGATAGAGGCAAGATCATAGAACACGACAAAGTAAAGATCTCGTGGTTTCCAAAAGAAGCGAGATTCCGCGAGCAGATCATGTTATCTGCAACGGAACGGACAAAAGAAGGATACACTGACGGAGAAACAGATCACCGTGTCATTCATTACATCATCTTAATCGTGTCACTTGCCACGTCATCTACACCGTGTCAATCGCCACGTCATCATCGTCATCCTCGGCGCAACGACCGCCGTCTGCCAATCGGCAAAAAGTTGGGCTCGCAATGAGATCAAACACAGAACTATATTGCCCCACCAGGCCACCAGAGCATCAACACAACTGTTCAACCCCTACAGTCTTCCCCCGAGTACAACGTACGGTCATTATAGCTGAATTTAGACTGAAAGATACCCCAAATTCAGCTATAATGACCGTACGTTGTATTCGGCGGAAGACTGTAGCTGGCTGAGGAAATCAGAGAGGCGGGAGAGCGTTTACCTTCTCACTCTCCTCCTTTTACTGTTCCTCCCGTTGCCGATGCTCGTGGCGGCAATAACAGAACTGCTGCCTGCCAGCCAACGACTCGTCAGACGCGTATGTTCCCGCGCAGCTATTTCATTCATTCATTCACCCACACACCGCGCCGTCTCTTTCCCTCCTCACTTCCCACCCATTTTTCTCGCACATGCATGGGGCTGGAGGGGGGCCCCTCTCCTTTCTCCTCCTCTTGCTCCCCCCCACCCACACTTTCTCTGGTCAAGATTGCTCTGACAGGAATTTTCACATTCGATTTTTTCTTTCATCTTTTTCACCTTCGATCTTCGTCATCTACTTTCACTATCTTCTGATCCGTGCTAGTGGGGAAAAAAACAAAAAAACAAAAAAAAAAACTGTGTGCCACTGTAGTCGAATCTCGGCCAGCCTCGAACATAGCAGGCGATAAAACCGTGCGGTCGAAGGCCACCGCAGAGCAAAAGGAGACAACCAGGAGGCTTCAGAAACCGACCCTCCTCTGCCCCCCCCCCCCACCCCAATCCCATCCACCAACCCTCTGATGCGATGGCTATCCTAATGACAACCATGCGATGTTGTGAACTTTTTCAGTCCCCTCAGCCCCTAATTACTTGGGTGATGACGTCAACAAAATTGCATTCCGGCTAGTCGGAAACATGAGAGAGGAGGAAGAGGAAATGCGAGTTTGCTGTACTCTACAGAAAAAGCGATTGGTTTACTACGCGCCACCACCCCCGCCTCCTTCCCCCATTCACCYCCCCCCTTCCCCCCCCCCCGGCAGAAGGACGCCCCGTCCCCTGTCAACCGCGCCGCCTCGCCCCACCCCCCACCCACCCATTCCACCGTCTCTCTTGTCACTTCCCAAGAGCAGACATATCGATTGTTCTATTCTTGGATTCTTCTCTTCGTGGTGCACAACGAAGAGATTGGCAGAGCGAGAATCCCGTTCGTTATTAATCGAACTACAAACTCAGTGGGTTCAAACTTAGTGGGGGCCCTATTAACACAACAAGATCTATCTTCCCTGAATCCCGTTATTACTGTAAGCGAACTTTAAACATAGTAGTGGGGGATATCAACAAGATCGATCTTCCCTGATTACCTACGTTTTGATTAGCACCGACTGCTCGCCTTCTCCACACCCTTTTTCCTCATTTCTGAACTTCAAACTGCCCGCCATGACGTGGCAATACGCTTTACGTGTCGATCGGGGGAAGGCTCGATCCCCTGATCAGGTACATGACGTATATACGTAGGATAGATCCGACACAATAGATTGCAAGAAGGCGTCCCCATCGGCTTAATTCATCCGTTCGGCCAAGCTCTCCATTGCACAACGTTCAATCTACATTTATCTGGAGGTGGTGATGGTCCCGCCGCATTCAAAATGTTGGACCAGTCCGAATGCATCTGGTCCAAGAACACGTAAGACTGTCATGTAATGGCGCGAGACATCATTATCGCTGTCACAAGGGTCCGCCGCCACCTACACCATCGCATCCACATTGGTGCTATAAACAAACCAGCCTGCTTCCATAATATTGCATCACGCTTCTCATCACACTTCTTGCGTTCGCGTCCTTAGGCTACCAAAACAAGTTTCATTAAAAAAAAAACAGAAAAAAAAAAAAGTTTCATTAGTATTATAGTATATGACGGCATGAGGGTAGAGCGATGGACATTGCTTGTGCGGCACCCCTAATTTCAGCATCCCCCCTTGCAGAGCGAACTCTGGAAAAGAGTTCTCTATTCGGTAAAAGAGTTGCCCGAAATGGGCAAGTCTTGTCTTATTCGGTCCCACCCCCTACAGAAGCAAAAGATGATGGCAGCATTTCTTTTTCCCCTCCCGCCCTCGTCACGCCTCCTTTCCAGATTAGGAAACTACTCGTTCGCCCGTTACGCCAGACAAGAGGGCGGCTCAACCATTGGAGGTAGCATAGTCAGAAGCAAGACAGAGCTTTAGCATCCTCAATTCTCACTCAGGAGCGAAGATAAGGTTCAGAGGGAGAAAGAGAGAGAGAGAGAGAGAGAGAGAGAGAGAGAGAGAGAGAGAGAGAGAGAGACAGGAAGTAAAGGGAGGAGCAAACCGGAACAAAAAAGAGAATAACGGGAAGAGGTAAAAGATCATGCGGATGAGCGAAGAGGTAAGAGACATACGGACAAAGAGATCTAAAGATATCGTCCTTCAACAGAAAAGAGGGGTTAAAAGAAGCACGCAGTAGAGAGAACACGATGAATATCTGTACACGATGCGGGCCGCTCGCGAACAAACACACGAGAAGAAACAGCTCGGTTAACACAACCGAAGAAACATAACCAACGTCTCCAACCACAGCTCAACACAGACGGCGATGAGACAGGAAAAAATCACCGCGGCATATAACCAATCAACGAGTCAATCAAACGCTGGCAACCAATCAGCAAATCATCAATCGATGGAGACAGACGAGAAAGAAAGCAACGAATCAACACGCCGACGATCCGTGCGGGATGAAATCTAATCGCTATGTCGTATTCACCGCCAAAGCAGGTTACGTCGGAAGCGGCGCAAGCACATGCGCATGTGTGCGCGTGTGTCCGCGTGTGTGTCCGCGTGTGTGTCCGCGTGTGCTCCAGCCTATATGCGCCTTCAAGCGACCGCTACACCAGAACGGCAAAATGGCCAAAACGAACGGCGCGCATTTCTCGATGACGCACACAGATAATAACCATTGCCTACCCCCCCCACCTCCCCAGCATCGAGCTTAAGTCTACTGGACACCTGACGGCACAGATTTGACAAAAAACGAGGCCACAAGAATTCATCTCTTGAGCTACATGTCCACTAAACCATCAATGGCGGTCAATCAGCTGACAACTGGAGTGTCCAGGTCAGCAGCAACACCGCGGCGCGACATTCACTTAATAAGCGGCCAAAGAGGGAAAGAAAAAAGATTCAGAATGACACACAAGAGGGATAAGAAGAGAGAGAGAGAGAGAGAGAGAGAGAGAGAGAGAGAGAGAGAGAGAGAGAGAGAGAGAGAGAGAGAGAGAAGTGGGAAAGAGAGGGGAGAGGAGTGTTCGCAGGGAGGGGGAAAGAGAGTGAAGGAGAAGAAGGCGAGGAGGAACAGGCTACAATAAGGGAAAGGCTGAGGCAGAAGGGACGAGATAGAGAGGAATAGAAGAGAAAGTGAGAGAGAGAGAGACACAGAGAGAGAGAGAGAGAGAGAGAGAGAGAGAGAAAGTGAAAAGGACGAGAGAGAGGGACACGTAAGAGATAGAAGGAAACGCGCCGGGGGAATACCTCTCATTTATACGAGCTCGTCGTCGTTGTTCCGCTGCCATGTGACGCGAAGCGCAAACACCGCTCCTCGTCCCAGCCGCTGTATTTGACGCCCTTCCATTTCCAGCCGCCGTAGAGGCGGCAGGGTACTGTAATCCCGGCTGGTAGTATTGCGCTATCGGAGTACAATAAGCGTACCCGGGAGGCGCAGCCGCCAATGGTGCGCCCATCTCTGGCAACATCGGCGCCAGTGCTATCGTTCGCGTCGGCCCCACCGGCTGCATTTTCTTCCACTTCTTCCCCGTCTTTGCTTCGATTTTGTCGTCCAAACCTTCTCTCTCTCTCTCTCTCTCTGTGTTGCTGTGTATATCCGTGCTTGCGAGATGGTGTATAAATACCCAACTGGCTGGACAACTACTGTCCTGGCAATTGAAGGAGTACGATAGTTATCACTGATGATCGAAGAATGACCATGCATAGGCCGTGATGTGGCATGACAATTGCCGCTGTGCAAATGAATCAAATAACTTACGCTCCTGTGACCATCAGCCAGCACATCAATTACACGCCCATACTCCCCCACCACGTCGTTGCGCAGAAAACAACACTTCACTCAATCGTTCTTCTTCTCCCGCAGATGCTGTTGTTGGTTCTTCCCCCAAATCCTTCCTCTCTCTCTCTCTCTCTCTCTCTCTCTCTCTCTCTCTCTCTCTCTCTCTCTCTCTCTCTCTCTCTCTGTGTCTGTGTGTGTGTGTGTGTGTGTGTGTGTCTGTTTGTGTGTGTGTATGCACCCCCTGTGTGGATCGATCTTCGTCCCTCAGTATTGCTTCCTAGACATCCGCGCGCTCGCGCGCACAGTCGCGCGCCTGCAGAACCTTTTCGACGTCTTGTGTGCACGCGCACCTTCCCCTGTGCCGATGGCTCTGGACCGCTACATTATGCGAGTGCACAACCATGCAGCGCTATTCTCCCGATGAGTGTGCAGTCTTCCTCATTGAAACATCAGATTCCACGACAATCGTAAATTCATGGTTATCAGTGTCACGGCGTTTCGCCCCTTTGCGGCGCTGGCTCCCTCTCTTTCGCGTCCTGATTGCTTTCATCAGGAGGAAAACGTGATGATGATGATGATCCCGAGGTGAGCCGTGGCTCAGGAGGTGAAAGGGAGTGCTTTGATGATAGAAGACGATCGAAAAGAGAATGCAAAAGCCTCCACTATGGTTAAGGAGGAGAAGAGCGAAGAATGCTTTCGGAATAGAGAAGAAGACAGCAAAAGCAGAGGAGGAAAAGAGGAGGCAGGCAGGTGATGACAAAGTGTCTTACGGCCGACGGCCAAGTCAATTACCACCCAGAAAACAGGGCAGCAAATGCCACACACGGCATTCTCTGTAGGTGAGATGTAATACTTGATGATGATTCATCGGGAGCTCGTCGAGCGATTCCGCACACTGCCAGGCTATGCAGGGAAAACACAAGTCCCCATTAGTCAGCCACCTCCAAGAGCAGATTAGCTATAGCTAGCTAGCAAGCTAGCTATTGCGCGCCAAGCGTGGCTGGCAACACCCCACCACGCACCTTCCTACCGGCCACCCCACCACGTACTTCCCTACCGATAGAGTAGGCAATCGTCCTCCCTCCCTCTCCTCGCAATCACTTGACGACCGAATCGCCAGACCGAGAGAAGACAGGGCGGGCACAAGTGATGGGCAAGTACCAGCACAGCCAGGCGACGTATCCGAACGATCTCCTGTTGGGGGTAGAGCACGTGGCCTTCTGCCTGTTCAGTGCGCAATAGCCACGCACGCAGATGGAGAAACGACCAATCAAGAGATCACTGATGGCGCTACAACCCACGGCACGACACGTGGCTGAATGCCACCGCACACACTGAGCTGAGCCGAGCCGCCTGGACCGGACCCGTTTCCACTCTGATATCGCGGAGAATACACAGTTTTGAGTGTTTCACGGGCAAACGTGACCCCCACTGCCAGTATCGGTCGGCCGGCGATCTCTCCACGGGGTTACCAAAAAATGAGTGAAGCGATGGCGACGACAAGAAACAGCGTGCGTGAAGATGGCATCCGCCAACTGCTGACTCTGGGTTTTGCAGATGAGGAGGCAGACAGAAGAAACAATGGAGTTTTGGACGAAGGAGAAAAAGAGGATTGGCGAAGAGATCGTTTCGACTATAAACAACTGAGCTCGGCTCTTACAACATTACCGCGAAAAGCTGATGAAGCGGGACGAGTGAGCGAGTATTCTCCCAAGCGTAGTGGAAGAAAGAAATCGACGGCAGAGATGTAGAGATGGTGGTGGTGGTGGTGGTGGTGGTGGTGGTAGTGGTGGTGTTGGGGGTGGTGGTGGTGGTGGTGGTGGTAGTGGTGGTGTTGGGGGTGGTGGTGGTGGTGTCTACCAAAAAGCGAAAGCTAGAGCGAGCAAGCACGCTTCTCGTCTTGCGCGCATTGACCCAACTGTAACGAGGGAACGACCATTCTACCAAGCGTGGTAGGGAAAAATATCGACGACGGAGATGTAGAGATGGTGGTGGTGGTGGTGGTGGTGATGTCTACCAAAAAGCGAGATAGAAAGAGCAAGCACTCTTCTCTTCTTGCGCGCAATGACCCAACGAAGATGGGCGACTGAGGCAACCGGCGAAAAGCTCGAGTGCATTCAACAACTGAACCTGCTGACTCTACTCCTCAATCCAATGTTCACGGTATGTCTCATCTTCTAGTCTTGCACAACAAATAAACGCACACAACAAGAACAGTCCCTCTCTCTCTCTCTCTCTCTACTGTGGGCTCGTCACTCACTACGGCAGTAAATCCACGGTGTACTGCTGGGCTAGGCAGTGAGTGCCCCTCGGTGACCTCAAGAGTCCACTCGGCTTTCCGTTCCTCTACGTTCTGGATATGATGTGCCACATACGAAGACGGAACACGTGCTGTGTCACAGAGGCTTGCGATAGGAGGCCGCTTGTGCTTGTGCTTGTGCTTGTGCTCGTGCTCGTGCGAGTTCGCCACTTGACAAGACGAAAACGACAGATTTCGTGGCTCGCCCTGGGCGTAGACCATCGTTTTTTGGACCTTATGGATCTGGACGAGGCTCTGCACGAGCAGCAGAGCGTGTGCAGTCAGTCACTTCCGCCTGGGCTTCGTGGTTACCCTCGACTCGGCGGTCACTTGGGAAGGCTTGGCGGTAGGCCGAGGTCGTGACGTAACGTGCCTGGACTGGACCAACTGGACTGGATTGAACTGGCAGGAGCGGGAGAAGGTATATATTCCCAATTCTTTTCGTTATATTCCTGTGCGTGGGCGCGGATGTTCTTGATTCTCTCGGGGTTTCGAGAGCACCTCCAACTCCAACTGCGCGGACGTCGAGGGAGGCGCGCGCGCGGAGCGCGGGAAGCGGGAGAAGTAAGAGCCGCTACGTTTCAGGGTCGACCCTCCAGGCCAAGACTGACTTTTTCCCTCCTGTGTTCGGAATTCAGAGAATTCACCGAACAGAATAGAATCGAAATTTCGATGACCCAGTGCCACGCCCGCTTTCTCACGAAGTAACGTGCGCGTGCGCGTGGGAAGTTGGGACGGCGACGTGGACACGGCGCCGCGTGGCTTGGAGGAGGGGAGGTGGGCGGGGCGAGCGACCCTTCCGGATTTTGCCGCCTCGCTGGGCTGCACAGGTAGGGCAGATACATGAATGCACCAGAAAAGCAACGCTCGGGTAGGCTTAAATCTGTATTCGGACGGCAGGGACCACCACGTACCTTGAGATCCTTCCTTTTTCTTTGACGTACGTCTTAATCTAATAGGATGATTGGCAAGCCAGTTCGTCCGCGAAGTTGATGCTTTTGTAAGAAAAAAAAAGGAAAGCCAGTTCGTCCTGTTCTTCTCCGTCAGCGTCTTTTCTGATTTCGTAGGGCGGCCGGATGCCGGCTCCGTACTCCGCCCGCAGGTCACAAGAACGAAGCCTGTAGGCTGCACCCGCATTCAAGTCGGCTGCGCCTACCGTAGGCCACGCGGAGAGATCGAGGTTTGTCGTGCCCGACGGTGTGGATCCTGGTGAAAGGCACGGAAAGCCCACGGGAACCCCAGTTTTCGCAGCCCGTTGATTCGCAGCCCGTAGGGTCGCGTTATTACAACTGAGTTCGCAGCCCGTCAGGGGTGTATTTTATGCCCGGGGTGCGTTTTCCCCCCCTGAGACATTTTCAATTCGCAGCCCGTCAGGGTTGCGTTTTTGCGTTTTCCCCCCCCGAGACATTTCAACGTCAATCAAATTTCAACGTCTGTGGTCGTCGGGAGGGTGGGCATTTTGAGGTTTTGGGGCCTTGCAAGGGCCAGGACCGTGTAGGACCAGTAGCTGCCCGTAGGCGGTCGAGGAGGCTGCGGTCCTTGAGCCGCCCGTAGGCGGTCGAGGAGGCTGCGGTCCTTGAGCCTTTTTCGAAAATTGAAACAGTGTGGGTGCACTTTTCTCAAATTTCTCAAATAGCAGATTTCCTCGAGTAGAAAACGTACACGTTGTATTCGAAACAATGTGTACCCTTTCTATTCGGATTTCGAAAAGAAAAAACTCTTGTATTCCAACAAAATTACTACTTTTTTTTTAAGAGGTCGCTGGCCTGCCCTAGTGCTCCCCGCCACTGACATGCTGCATGCTGCAGGTCTCTCTCTCTCTCTCTCTCTCTCTCTCTCTCTCTCTCTCTCTCTCT